TCACACTTTCATCAGCTTTCTTCGTATTGATCTCACAGAGGCGGCAACACAATGAAGGTGCTCTGTGTGGCGGAAAAGCCATCAATCGCAAAGAGTATCAGTAGTATTTTGTCGTCTGGAGGAGCAACATCGGTGAGCCTGCCATCCTCCATAATTTTCATCTGGTTTTGCTGACAAGCGTTGTATCCTCTGACATTTTCGTAGCGAGTCTCCCCTCATCGTTACATAAGAAACTATGACTTTCCATACAACCTTCCTGCCCCGCTAGGACCTAATCACGGTGATGCAGACTTTACCGTAACTTCCGTTTTGGGACATTTGACCTCGAGTGTAAGCAGATCCATACAGTTTGAATCGAATTTACGGCAGACTGATGTGGCAATGTCTCTACGTAGGATTTTGCGGAACAGTTCCGAAAGTGGTATAGCTGCGAGCCATTTGCCCTGTTCGAGGCCCCAATCAATACTTATATCAGCGACGTGAGTGTGCATTCGTGCCCCTATACACAGGGATAACGCGTCCTGACGTGATTTGCTCTAACAGGATCTCAAACAAGTCGAGCGAAACCTGCAACAGGAAGCTCGAAGAGCCGATTTATTGATTATCTGGACCGATTGTGATAGAGAAGGCGAACACATCGGTAGCGAGATTGTGAATGTCTGCCGACAGGCCAACAGGAACATTCGAGTTAAACGTGCGAAATTCAGTGCTATCATCGCAGCGTCAGTCATTCCGTCATTGTCTGTCAGCGAGAGTGTGACTAATTCCTGCTGATGGGATTCGATAGGCAAATTCACAATGCATGTCGCAACCCCGTAGAACTGGATATGAGACAAGCAGATGCTGTCGATGTCAGAATCTCGCTTGATTTACGAGTTGGAGCTGCTTTCACCCGGCTGCAAACCATGGGATTGCAAAATCGGCTACCTGACCTTGGGCAAAAGGTGATTAGTTATGGTACGTACGCCCGCATCCCGACTATGTCATAGGCCTCGCTAATCGCTAATGAAAGTTGTCTTCAGGACCATGCCAGTTTCCCACTTTGGGATTCGTCGTCGATCAGTATGAGCGCGTGCAAGCTTTTGTGCCTGAAACTTTCTGGTACATTTATGTCGAACAACAACGACCGGAAGGGGTTATCAAATTCAACTGGCGAAGGAACCACCTCTTTGACATGGCAGCGGCTATCATTCTATACGAACAATGCGTTGAACAACCCCAAGCTACTGTTCGATCGGTAGTCACGAAGCCTGCTACGAAATGGTATGTGTCGGAATTGCTTTGCGTCGATATGTGACTTACGATCTATCGCTCTCAGGAAACCGTTGCCTCTGACGACGGTAGACCTTCAAAAGTCAGGTTCACGTCTACTTCATATGGCTCCGAAAAAGGTCCTAGATGCACGTGTGAAGCCACGGGAAGCGCAATCACGATCATTCGCTAAACTCTCCTTCCCCAACAGATCGCGGAAAAACTCTATCAACAAGGTTTCCTCAGCTACCCTAGAACAGAAACCGACCAATTCGACAAGGACTTTGATTTCAACCATTTGATACAAAAGCAACACGTGGATCCTGACTGGGGAGCTTTTGCTCAGCGGTAAGCAAGAGGCTAAATTCTTGTTTGGTAGTACACATACTCACTCGGTTTATATGCAGTTTGACCAGCGGCGGCTTTCAGAGGCCCAGGAACGGTCAAAAGAACGATAAGGCACATCCGCCAATTCATCCTACTGCACATGCAGGGACTCTGCAAGGCGACGAAAAGAGAGTATATGAGTTTGTCACGCGCAGATTCTTGGCTTGTTGCTCCACTAATGCTGAAGGCAAGAGTACCACGGTTGAGATCGATATCGCGGGAGAGTACTTTTCGACTGCCGGTAAGCGGGCTCTGACGTCGGGGCATGTATATTCTGTCACTTAGTCCACTTTTCCCGTCCCCAGGTCTCGTGATCATAGCCAGGAACTACTTGGAAGTCTACCCTTACGACAAGTGGTCTGATTCCATCGTGCCAGACTTTGCAGAAGGCGAAACGTTTATTCCTTCTGTCTGCGAGATGAGGGAAGGTCAAACGTCCAGGCCCAACTTGCTGACAGAAGCCGATTTGGTTGGTTTGATGGACAAGAATGGTATTGGTGAGTCTGTTGTTCCGTTTCTCCAGATTCAAGCATGCTCAACTGCTGTTTCCTACTTACAGGCACTGATGCTACCATCGCGGAACATATTGCCAAAATCGTTGAGAGAGAATACGTGGTAGAAAAGCAAGACGGTAGAACCAAATATCTCGTGCCATCGACTCTTGGCATCGGCCTTGTGGATGGTTACAACCAGATTGGCTTTGATCGATCTCTGACCAAGCCTCATTTGAGACGAGAGGTAGGTGCTTGATTGCTCTCTTGATGCATGGACTTTGCTAATCGCCCTTTTGAATAGACTGAGCATCGTATGCAATTGATTTGCGATGGAGAAGAGAGTAAGCGAGACGTTTTAGAAGCTAGCTTGATTCAGTATCGGGAGGTCTTCATCAAAGCAAAGCGTGATTTCGATATTCTGTTCAATGTAGGTTGTTTCCTTGTCGGTACCATCGCGAGTGATTCCTGACGATATTGCATCTGGACAGAGCGTGGCCCGAAGCATGGGAGGCAGAGGAATACAGGCTGGAGACGTTGCTCGACGACCACCACCTCCAGGCGGTCGAGGCAATGGTGGAAACGGCGGTAATGATGGTGACGATGCACCACCTTCGGATGGCGGCGGTGATGACAGACCTCCTGGAGCGCCTGCACCAAGAGCTGATGGTAGAGGAAAGGCAGTCGGTAAAGCAACGACGGCCAAGGCAACCAAAACAAAGGCGGCTCCTGCGAAGACTACCACTGCCAAGAAATCAACCAAAGTCAAGGTTAAGATGAGTGCTGCAGAGGCAATTGTGCCTCATCCCGGTAAGTCGCACTGTGGTGTTGCACTGTATGACCTGTGACTGACCTTCTGGATTGATTGATATGTTTGGGTAGATAACGGTGGCACTGGTCCCAGTACAGGATCTACCGTGCTTCAAAGTAACGGCCCTCCAGTAGCGCCGGTGCCAGTCGGTGCGGGAGTTCTGTGCAAATGTGGGGATCCGGCCGTTCACCGCACTGTAGTGAAGGAGACCGCCAACAAAGGCAAGGGATTCTGGGCTTGCGCGAAGGCGATATCTGATGCCACGAACTGCAAATTCTTCGTGAGCAACATCATTTCGACTTGGTTTTACATACAAGCTAAAAGGTTACCCCAAAAATAGGAATGGGACGAACCGCCCGCTACCACCACGCCGACAAAACGAGCCATGCCTGCCAGTGATGTGAGCCCAGATTCGAGTACTTCATATCATCTCGGCTGACCTAACCTCCTTGTAGATTACGAACCGTCCTACGCAACGTCCCAAAACAACTCATGATACCAATGAGCCGAAAGGTGCTAAGCGATTCTGCAGCTGCAAGCAAGAAGCTATTCGGTGGACCGTTCATAAGGAGGGACCGAACTGTGGTAGAGCGTTTTATAAATGTTGCAAGCCGCAAGGCGAGCAATGTGATTTTTTCGAGGTTGGTATATTCGGAGCTCGGTGTGGATACAGGTACTGACTGATCCTTTGCCATTTAGTGGGAAGATGAGCCTCAATTGCAGAGTCCCGCGGCTAAGAAGGGGCCTCCTGCCAGGGCCGGTCAAGGCACATTCAGAGGGTATAGCCAAGGCAAAGCTGGCGGGGATGACAGTGAGTGTTCTAATGTATCATTCGATATAAGATGCGAATCTCATCACGTTTTTGGGCTTCACAGAGTGCTTCAAGTGTGGTCGTACCGGACACTGGTCTACCAACTGCGGCTACGCAACCAAGGTCGACGAGACGGGCAGACTGACCTATATGAAGAAAGGCAGAAGGAGGTACTAGTCTCCTTGCCGAGCTTGAGCGTCAATTCAACGACCTACGAGAAAACGCTTAAACGCCACTTCAACACTCATTCACTCAATATTCGATTTCGTGCTCGATCCTGCAATGCAGTATTTTTACCTTGTATGATATATCCAGCAACGCTGACGTATGTCCAGCCCATCATTATGATTACGTTGTTCGCTATTTGTCTCTTCAATCTATTCCTTGTCATTGCTCGACAAACTCCGCAGCTGCCACTCATTTCTTCAGTCAGAAATGTCCAAATCGACGGCTGACTTGAGCTGAAGTGTGTTCAATCAGAACTATGAGATCTGGGGGATAACCTTATGAACGGTACATCGTCTACTTGTGGCTCCCGCGTTTTCGGTAACGCATTCATGACGAACCTATGACACAGAGCACCTTAGTAGGGCAGGCAAACTGAGACTTCTGACCGATTCGAGGAGTGCGTGGGAAGTGAATTGAAAGAGGCGCCAGCAATAAGATATAGGATAGGAATCTATCAAGGAGATTCGGGCCGGTTAGGCAGCGGACCTAGGTAATCGCGTGTTTTTGATTTTTCAACCCAAAAAAGAAAGACAAGAAAAGATCGTCTTCTGCTCTCTCATACAGTCCAACCTCCAACCCTTGTCATAGCCCTCGCTACGGTCGGGGACCGTATTCCAGCCTTCCTTTTGCCTTGCCTTTACTGGCTACCCCAAACAGGGGGTCATTCAATCAGCCCTGTCAACTTGGGACTTCGCCTACCCGATATCCTAACCTGAGTCTTTAGACACGTTGGGTTTACCTAGAACCCCTTCCTTGCTACATTGCCGCATGCGTTGCGTTATAGAACCGCGTTATAGGTTATAGGAGCTTTCGGGGGTTGACAGCTGGGTTGACTAAATTTCCCGTATCGATCATCCAAGGCCAAGGAGCTATCCAAGGCCCAAGGCTTCATATATGTCTCAGAAGGAGGCGGACTCCAGCTGGTGCCCCCGATACCGCCAAGTCAGGTACTTACCATCTGCATCCGGAAACCGAAGCAAAATTGTTTGTTGTGGGCTCTACCACGCAAAAAAAGCATCAAGCCCGTATGGCCAAGTGGTAAGGCACTGCACTTGTAAGCTTGTGCTCGTTTTAGAACGCATTCCTGACATGCAGCGATCCCCTGTTCGACCCGGGGTGCGGGCAGTTTGATTCTTTTGCCGTTTACAAAGCTTTTTGGGCAGATTTCATGTGTACCATCATTATTGCGTTTTTCCCCTCTACCTTGTCTTGGAAGACGTTTTTGCGTCGAGTTTCAATAGGCTGCCTTCCAAACACCATCCATCGTCAGAGAATAATCTGTGCTGACGGCAGATGTTGCTCGGGGACAAGCAACGGCGGCAGGCCTCTGAAAACGCGCCTGAAAACATTCGGGTAAGTGACAAAAAAACTCTTTCCCGCATACCATTCTCTTGAGCGGTCGTTGAGGTCAATAGACGCTTATTCCCGCTCACAGAGCTAGAGCGGCCATCAGTCATCATGTCATGGCTCGTGTACCAACTGGAGAACAAGTGAGAGCCTTCCTCGCAAAGGAGTCGCGTTCGATCCCCAAGTTTTCGGTTTCAAGTTCAGTGGCTCACTTGGTGATCGTCTCTCAGAGCCAAGATCCACAAGTGCGACTTGTACAGTCACATTCGAGGTTTCCCTTCTCGCATACCGGGTTCAATCTACGTCGATGTCGGTTGTTTCAGTAAGTTGCCATCGATGGCGAGTTTGCAGTGATGCTTGATTAGTCGGGTTGCTCATCGTGTTTCGTGCTGCCTTCCACCATGCCTGGGTGTACAACAGCAGGGGTCGATGCCAGACGTCTTGCATCAGATGGGTGGCCCGAGAATCAAATAATCGGAATAGAGGGCAATTCGAGTGAGTAGTCTTTTTCGCGACTGAGAAGTGCCCACCTTCTTAGCAGTCAGCGTGTGACACGACTCAGAATGGATAGAGCTGGGCTGGCAGCTATTCAAAGACAGGGAAACGACAGGAATCCAGTTCTTAATTCTCGACATTATGGGAATAGAAGACACTAGTCCTCGAATCAACCTACCAGGAATCGCGCCCGGAAAGGCCGAGAACATCAGAGTGATATCGGCATTTGCATTCTTCCACCTGTTTTCGGAACCAAGGCAAGTAGAAATAGCCAAGAGGCTATGGAATATGCTAGAGAAGCAGCCCGGCAACGTCATACTTGGTATACAGAAAGGAATGGACGTGCCGACTCTGAGAAATATACCAAGAGAAAAGCAAGGCCAAGACGTATGTTTTTGGTGAGTCGACTTGTGGTACACATCGCATACCGATACTGACATTCCACGACTTCAGCCACTCTCCGGCGTCATGGAGATCCATGTGGCTGGAGCATATCGATGGCGAGCTGGAAGTAAAGGCCCGATTCGAAACCACAAGCAGTGAATACGAACCAGGAACAGTACACGACTTGTACTGGAGTGTAAGAATAAAATGACGGGCTCGTCTTACATGTATTCGCGATAGACAACACAAAACGTATGTACTACAACGTAGGGATCTCTCCGAGCTGTTCTGGCGTGCCAACCTGACTTGGCAGTTCGCTCGCCGGTACAGATTTTGCGTTTGAATTCTTGGCTCTTTTTGGCTTTGGAGCATCACCGTCTGCGGGCGGACGAGGCGCACGCTTCTTGCTCGGCTTGGGAGTGTCTCCTTCGTCTTCACCCTCGGTCTTTCTTTTCGCCACCTTCTTCTTGGATTTCGCGGCGCCGCCATCGTCATCCTCATCGTCTCCCGTTTTCTTGTTGGAGAAAAAGCCGTCCTCGTCATCTGCCTCCACCGGGAGCGTACTATTGGCAAAAGTGGATCCGAAGCCAGCGGATCGGTTTCCAAAGGTTGCAGGCATATCGTTCGAATCGTCGTCGTCGTCGTCCAGCAACAGCGCTGCAATCTCCTTTTGGGCGTTGATCTCGTCCAAGGACTTGTTTCCCACAACAATATCCTGGACATCTTTTTTATTTCGGGCGAGATGCAACATTCTCTCGTCGACTGTCCCTCGACAAATAAGTCGGTAGACGGTAACCTGACGGGTTTGTCCGACACGATGCGCTCGATCCATAGCTTGTGCATCATTGGAAGGATTCCAGTCGTGTTCGTAAAAGATGACAGTGTCAGCCGCAGTCAAGTTGATTCCGAGACCGCCTGCACGTGTACTGAGCATGAAGATGAAAATGTCGGGGCTGCAGGAAGTGATACAGTTAGTATTACGTTGATGAAATACCGCTTTCTCAAAACGTACTTGGTTTGCCAAGCGTTGACCATGTCCCTTCTATCAGCAATAGCTGTACCACCGTCTAGTCTGAGATACCGGAGTTGTCGATAAATGAGATACTCTTCAAAGATTGACATCATTTTCGTCATCTGAAAGTAAATGAGAACCCTATGTCCACCCGCCTTGAGCTCTCGCAGGAGACTGTCCAACCGGGCCATTTTGGCAGAATCAAAGATTAACCGCTTCATGCTGGGGAACTGCATAGCGGTCACCGACTGTTGATCGCTAGAACTGTTCCGTAGCAGGCCAGAGGGCGGTAAATTCGGTAGTGCCTTCTGAGCTTTGGCGACTATCGCAGGATCGTCAGCCAAAACTGGCGGGAGACCATAAAGTGCCAACTTGTCGAGAAGAGGGTGCTTGAAATCTTGCTGCTGAACGTAGAATGATCGACTGGAACATTCTGCACGAATCGGCGGCGCAACCACTTCCTCGAGTGTGAATCTGGCCTCTGTTCTGCTCAAGTACGAGCGCCGCCAGCTGTGGAGAGCAATCTCGTTGGGAGACACGACGTGATCCAGGACTAGTCGTTTCCGCAATTTGGCTTGAATTGTAAAAGGCGATGCGGGTGGGCTTTAAAGACAGACTGGTGTTAGAGCCAGACTCCGAGAACAACGGCTGAGAGAGAGGCCACTTACAGATCCAAAGCGGATTCGCGTTGCCGCAAGGCCTCCAAGTCTGATCTGATGAGCTGCACAATTGCTGGTTCTCGAGCCTTTCGGCTGAGGTCGGAAACAGAATCTTTCGTAAGGGCTAGGAAGCTAAAGGCAGAGTCTATCGTCACATGATAGCATGTTCAGCAGCTGTCAAGGCTCTGTCACGTGGAGAATCACTTACCACTTTCTTCAAAAGACGTAACGAGATTGTCGGGAGACCAAATGTTCATGAGGTTTTGCAGATACCTCGTCTCGAACCCGGCTCGACCTTGCTCTGAAGGGCGCCTCAAGATTCCTCCCTCCTCCCACATTATTCTGGGCAACTGCACACGGATGGGATTCTCGCACGAGTCGGGCAAATATAATGACTGTTCTCTTAGCAAGTCGCCGCTTGAGCTAAAGGTACTGAAGGACAAGGGCGCCGTCACGTCGGCTCGCTCGAATAGTTCAGGATGATTGCAGACCTGGAAAGGTAATGCTGTTAGCAACAGGTTTGGGAACAAGTCTCCGACGGCATGTACCTTTCTGAATTGCATCACTACATTCATCAATGCATTCCTCTTGGTCGACGTATCAGAAGTTTCCTTTGCTTGATCGAGGATTGCCTTGATGGATGCGTTGGACCTCAGGGCTTTATACATCATGTGCTGTCGAGGACTCAAGTTGACTAGGATATCCTTTTCGATCTTTTCTCCCAGTTCACTTTGTACATTCCTCTTGACACGTCGAAGCATGAAAGGTCGCAAGACATCGTGCAATCGTCTGAGCTGTTGAGCCTGAAGCATGTCGTTCTTGCGACCGGTTCCGTCCTCAATGCCTCGCGAAAACCATTGTGTAAAGTCTTGCAACGAGGTGAACAAATCCGGCATGATGAAATGCAGAAGAGCCCATAGTTCTACATGAAAGCAAGTGGTCAAATGGAAGATCTAAGCGTAAAGCGACAACATGACTTACCTCCCATATTGTTCTGAATGGGGGTACCTGTCAGAAGCAATCGATTTCGGCTCTTCAGGCTCAGCAAATTCGTCCATCTTTGAGTGCCAGCATTCTTCACAGCCTGCGCCTCATCAAGAATCATATATTGCCACCGGACTTTCTTGAAGTATTGCGTATCTACGTTTACCTAAGGACGCATGGAACAAGTGTCAGCTAGTGCCTTGCCCTGACAATTTCGGGGAAAACATGTACCATGTCGTAACTGGTGACCACGATGTGGAAAGGAGCATCTTCCGTGAAAGTCACTGCCGGTCGAGTCCATTCCCTTCGAATCACTTCTCGATCCGCGGGCGTACCCCAATGCGGCAACACTTTCAACCGCGGTACAAATCTTGTAAGTTCGGCTTGCCAGTTGTGAACAGTCGATGTTGGAGCAACAACAAGGAAAGGTCCCCAAATGTTGTGAGTCTCAGCCAACCAGGCGAGCAGGGAGATAGATTGAATTGTCTGTAGAAGGTGGCGACCAGGGGACGAAAAGTTAGTGAGTCGTCTTCCTGCGGGCCACAAGACATACCTTGCCCAAACCCATTTCGTCGGCCAAGATTCCGTTGATGCCCGACTCATATAGATGTGCCAACCAAGAAAGACCTCGCATCTGGTAGTCTTTCAGCTGAGCCTGCAGCATGACTGGTTGCGTCACCATCACCCCAACGCCGGCACCTAGCGGATTCTGGAAGTCAAGAGCTGCAGTCGAGACTGTGAATATACTTGATGGTCAGTACAACATCACCTGATTAGTCGAGACGAACTACTTGCCTGTGACATTAGCGACCCGCGACCGCTCACCAGCAACTTGATCGTCAAAGGCGGCAGCTTCCCGCTTCTTTCTCGCCATGATGGCCCGAGCACGAGCAGCAGCACGTTTTTTCAACTCTTCCTCGGAGAGATCAGGGTCATCTGAAGGAAATTTCAGATTTAGTAGCATTCTGTCAGGAACCTCATGGAGAGTCTCACCCGGTGCGTCAAGATCGTATTCCACATCGTCCGCGTCGTCAACGTCATCCTCGATGTCCTCTGCCGTCTGCTTGGCGTCGGCGTCCACGTTGATATCAGCTTCCTCCATGGCTTCGTCGGCTATGTAAAGCTGTCAGGTCATCAAGCCAACACGTAAGTGCGGTCGCATCGAACTTACTCTTGATTTTCTTCATCATGAGTTTACTATACGTCTCTCCGCTATCCAGCAAGAACTGCAATCTCTTGGCTGC